TAAAATCCTGCAGCGCACGCAAAGTCCCTCTGCTCAAGCCAGCACATGTCCAGTCGCATCTGAAGTTTGCCAAAGAGATCTGGATGATCCAGAGGAGGCATGGGAGAAGGTCATGTGGTCAGATGAAACCAAAATGGAACTTTTTGGTATAAACTCAACTCGCCATGTTTGGAGGAAGAAGAAGGATGAGTACAATCCCAAGAACACCATCCCAACCGTGAAGCCTGGGGGTAGAAACATCATACTTTGGGGTGCTTTTCTGCAAAGGGGACAGGACGACTGCACTGTATTGAGAAGAGGATGGTGGGGCCATGTATCGCGAGATTTTGGGCAACAACCTCCTTCCCTCAGTAAGAGCATTGAAGATGAGTCATGGCTGGGTCTTCCAGCATGACAATGACCCCAAACACACAGCCAGGGCAACTAAGGAGTGGCTCCATAGCATTTCAAAGTCCTGGAGTGGCCTAGCCAGTCTCCAGACCTGAACCCAATAGAAAATTTATGGAGGGAGCTGAAACTCCCTGTTGCCCAGCAACAGCCCCAAAACCTGAAAGATCTGGAGAAGAGGAGTGGGCCAAAATCCCTGCTGCAGTGTGTGCAAACCTGGTCAAGAACTACAGGAAATGTCTGACCTCTGTAATTGTAAACAAAGGTTTCAGTACCAAATATTAAGTTCTATTTTTCTATTGTATCAAATGCAATAAAATGGAAATAAATTATTTAAAAATCTAACTGTGATTTTCTGGAATTTCTTTGTAGATTCTGTCTCTCACAGTTGAGGTGTACCTACAATGAAAATTACAGATCTGTCCATTCTTTGTAAGTGGGAAAACTTGAAAAAAATTTTTTTTATTTGTCCCACTGTATGTGCTGCACATTCTCTATAGCTTCTCTACCTTAGAAACTGGTACATCATACACTGTCAGTGGCCAAAGACCAAACTGCAGGCATGATAGTTTGAGTTTGATTGAGAGGCCTTATGCATCTATGTCCCTAATCCCCATCACCTACCTGTTGTCTCAAGCCCTGAATCTGCTCCTTCTCACCAAGAGCTGCATCATACCACCTACCTAAAGTTTACACTGTTGAAATTCCTTCATTATTTATACATAACCTTTTATCTGAAAGACACCTTTTATTATTTAAACATTCCTTGATTTCTCTGGTTTCACCTCCATTCTAGCCCACTTCAGGTTAGTGTTCAAACTGTATAATAACCTTTTTGGTACATAGTGCTCTGGTAGAGATAGTCGTGTTTTGCATGCACGCCCTTATGGGTGGTAATTGTTGCCCTGACCAAAGCCTCTCTCCTCCTTCGACCCAGCTAACACTGACACTAGTAAGAATCTCTTAGAATTTTCTTAAATCTGCAAAGAGGACAATATCTTGTGTTATTCTGTATTACTGAATGGATGTACAGTATATTCATAGTTGACAGCCTTCATCACTTCCCTAGTCAATGGGGAATTATCTGCTCTGCTGGTAGCTGTAAAGAAAAATAAGTGAAACAAGTTTTTAATTTAGGTTTCTAGCACTGTTTGCTCAGTATATCATATTTCCTGTGTTTTCAGTTAAATCAAGTGAAAAAACACCTCAACCCCATCAGTTGTGCAGGTAACCCTAGAACCCTTGATCATTTGAAGGAGGAGGACCACACAGATTTTCTGCTTCCTTCATTTCACTGACTTTTTCTGTAAACCTTGACCCAGTGTTTTGGCATACACCTTCATTGGGTGTTTGTGTTTTCAGTTAGGAAAAAAGAGAACTAAAGCACAAATTTAAATGTTAAAATCTTTTCTTCACAACTACTGTAGTGTCCCTATTTAACATCATTACAGATATTGTATGAATTAACACTTTAGATCTCCAGAGATGGAGAGTTTATGTTTTAGTTCATATTTACACACTGCTGCTATGGTGCATGGTATTCCCCTTGTAACAAAATATTGATTAGCTTGTCTAAAACAATACTTTCATTTTCATTCCTCTGCTCTAGCAGCAAAGCTACAAATAACACACCACATTCCCCAGGTCTGAGACAAAAAAAACAGAAAAAAAAACAACAACATCCATCCATTATCTATACCACTTATCCTGAAGAGGATCATTGGGGGCTGGAGACAATCCCAGCTGACACTGGGTGAGAAGCAGGGTCCACCCTAGCTGACATGTAGACAAGCAACCACACACTCCCACCTAACGGGCAATTTAAAGTCGCTGCATGTCTTTGGACTGTAGGAGGAAGCCAGAGTACCTGGAGAGAACCCACACAGGCACAGGGAGAACATGCAGTCGCCACACAGAAAGGCCCCTGGTCGGCCCGGGCTTGAACGCAGAACCTTCTTGCTGTGAAACGACAGCGCTAACCACTGTACTACCATGCCACACACAACAACAACAAAAAGAGTATTTCTAATATTTTTTGAAAAATCTTGTCAGTATTTTACTAACAAAGGCTATAAACAGTACATTGTAATAACTAATTTCTTATACTGACAAAAGGAAGGGCAAAATGTTAACGGGCTTTCAGATAAGATGTGGTATGCACTGCACTTGCTCTGGGGGTTGGGAGCAGTGCAGGGGAAGAGGGTGCACATATACAAATCACCTACATGAACGGCAGTTGCTATTTAACCTAAAAGTTTTCCAGGAGGTTTTTAGCCGATAATAAGGTCTACTATATGGACCGCCAACACCTTAGGGTTCTGAATTGTCAAACCATACAATATTACACGCTGTATATGCTGGGTTCCACATCTCTAGTCAGAGATCTACAGCATTAAACACGGTTAACACAGCACCATAAGTTACAGGTGTACAGTAGTGAACACCATGTACAGTATGGTGCAAAGAAGTAGACAACTTCTTTGTAAACATTCATTTTAAATCTGATTTATCACACAGTTGCTGTCATAACCCTGTATTTATGTTGGCTTTGACAGGCAATGTGATGGACCTAAAATTGTCTGTAGACTTTATTAGCAAAAGTATTGTTAATTTGGGGTCATTAAAAGACAATAGCCCATACTATAGGACAGGACGGAGGTTTATCAGCTGTGTACCACTGCATTATTTATTTGAACTGCTTCTCCCAAATTACTATCTAATAGCCAACTCCTTCAGTCACATCTCCTAAAATGTTTCCCTAAAAAAAGAACTGCATAGAAACATTTTGGGAAACATGGTGACCTAAGAAGTAGACTATAAGGGAGTGGTTGTTTAACTGCAGTGCTACATTACACATCGAACAATGAAATATGTTCCCTTCAAACCTTATCTGCTTTTGCAGTTTAGTTGAATACTCTAGGAGCATAGTTTTAGGAGAGACGGTTTCGCCAATTTGTCCAAAGGAGAATCTACAAAATATTAAACTAACATCACAATCCACACACATATTATAATAACGGTTTACAGTGAAGGCTGATCACAGGGATTTTTCTTTACTTCTGAGCTTCATATAGTATCTACAGTATGGTTTGTGTATGCCTGGGATTCTGTACCTGTGAGTGTAGGCTGAGCACCACCTTATTCTTCTTCTTCTTTCGGCTGTTCCCGTTAGGGGTAGCCACAGCGAATCATCTGTTTCCACCTAACTCTATCCTTGGCATCATCTGCTCTTGCCCCAATTAACTTCATGTCCTCTTTTAGCACATCCATATATCTCCTCTTTGGCCTTCCTCCTGACCTCTTGCCTGGCAACTGACATCTCCAACATCCTTCTACCAATATAACCACTATGCCTCCTCTGCACATGTCCAAACCATCTCAATCTGGCCTCTCTGACCTTGTTCCCAAAACAGCTGACCTGAGCTGTCCCTCTGATGTGCTCATTCCTAATCCTGTCCATACTGGTCACTCCTAAGGAGAACCTCAACATCCTCATCTCTGCTACCTCCATCTCTGCCTCTTGTATTTTCCTCACTGCTACAGTCTCTAACCCATACAGCATAGCTGGTCTCACTACTGTCTTGTACACCTTTCCTTTGTTTCTTGCTGACACTCTTCTGTCACACAACACTCCTGACACCTTTCTCCACCCACTCCAACCTGCCTGCACTCGCCTCTTCACCTCTTTCCTACACTCCCCATCACACTGGACTGTTGACCCCAAATACTTAAACTCCTGCACCTTCTTGACCTCAGCCCCCTGTAACCTCACTGTTCCACTTC